AAGCAACAACAAGTCCCGCAACAATGGGAAGGCGAAATCCGCATCGCAGGCCGGAAATGGACAGCCAGTACAAGTTCCATGGGTCAAGTTCGGCTTGACCGAGGCGGAGTACAAAGTCCGCGGCCGCTACGGCAGCTGCTATTGGTGCAACAGCACCAAGCACAAGACCTCCCTGTGCCAGGATCAGGGTAAGGCGGATGTGCGACCTTGCCTCGGCTCGGGAAACTGAGCTCCGCGGAAGGTGAGGCGACTCCACCTTCCACTCCGTCAGATTCGGCCGCCTTGCTAGCATCCTCCTGCACATCTGGGGAGGATGCGAATGTCGCAAGTTCTCGTTACTCTTACGAGGACTATGCTGTCTACTTGGTTCCACCGCTGGACCAGCCGCTCCACGTGCAACAGTCCACCGCATGCACGGTTTCATCACCATCGGCAACCGATTCGGCACCTTCGTCGCAATCTATCACCGGGGATTCGACGTCATGGTCAAGACTTGATGAGCTCGACCCGTTGACGTTCACAGACTTCCAGTGGATGCCCGTTCCCTCGACTGGACGATTGTCGAAACCGCATTGCAATGTGCTCATGGCACAACTGCGGGACTACTTGCACACTGCAGTACCAGCTCCGTTGATGGACGACGGAGTAGAGGTTGTCAACCTTCACGAGTACATCGCGAAGATTGAGCGCGAGTTCAAGACGCAACGGTACGACGACATCGACACACCATTGCTATACATACGCATTGAGAACGGTGAGGCGACCTGTAGTGCCTTGATCGATTGCGGAGCATCTCGCAACTACATCAGCCAGGACTTCATGGTGCACGCCGGCCTTGGCCCACGTGTCCGCAGGAAGTCCCAGCCTACGCAAGTCAAGTTGGCAGACGGTCATACGCACAAGTCAATCGACCGGTGCATTGACGCCGTCCCCGTGTACTTTGCCCCTCACGCAAGTGAGGCGGTGTTCTTTGACATTCTGGACACCAAATTTGACATGATCTTGGGCATGTCATGGCTGCGAAGCGAGGATCACCCGGTGAACTTCTTCAACCGCACCGTTCACATTCGTGATCGGACCGGAGTACTAGTTCCATGCACGGTGCCTCTTCCTCATCCTTCTATCAAGTGCCACGTGGTATCCGCCGCAAGCATGCGAGCATCCATCATCAGAGACGACATTGAGGAGATGGGGGTATGTTTTCTCCACGCCCTCCCGCCCCGAGACGCTTCATCGACGGGCTCATCTTCGGATCCACGCATCACCGAGCTTCTGGACGCTTACAGCGACGTGTTCGAAGGCCTGCACGGAGTAGTACCGGATCGGCCCATCCGCCACGAGATCATCCTCGAGGACGGGGCCGTACCTCCGCGCGGCTGCATCTACCGAATGAGCGAGGAAGAGTTAAGTGTGCTCCGTGCACAACTCGACGATCTTCTAGAGAAAGGTTGGATTCGGCCTAGCTCATCGCCATATGGTGCTCCTGTCCTCTTCGTCCGGAAGAAGAACAAGGACCTGCGGTTGTGCATCGATTATCGCAAGCTCAACGCGCAGACGATCAGGAACACTGGCCCTCTCCCACGCATCGACGACCTTCTCAAGCGATTGGGCGGCGCCCAGTTCTTCTCTGAGCTGGATCTCAAGTCAGGGTACCACCAACTCGAGATTCGCAAGGAGGATCGCTACAAGACCTCGTTTAAGACACGGTATGGGTATTTCGAATGGCTGGTCATGCCGTTTGGCCTTACGAATGCCCCAGCCACTTTCCAAGCGGCTATGACAACGGAGTTCCGACACATGCTGGATCGGTTTGTACTCATCTACCTCGTCGACATCTTGGTGTATAGTCGGAGTTTGGACGAGCATGTGGAACACCTGCGCACCGTTTTGGAGCGGCTACGACAAGCCAAGTACAAAGCAAACCGCGACAAGTGCGAGTTCGCACAGCAGGAGCTGGARTACATGGGACACTATGTGACGCCGCAAGGCATCCGTCCGCTTGCGGACAAGAT